TACAAAGGCATGCCTTCAGAGGAAAGAATTTGTAATTTGTGTGAAGACAAGGCTATTGGTGATGAAATACATGCATTATTGGTTTGTAAGAACCAAAGGTTAATAACTAGTTGTACACAATTTATTAATACTTTGTCGTTGTATAATGATAGTCTACTAACATTATCAGAACAAAACATGTTCAAACAAATGTTAAGTTCAAATGATGGTTTCATTACCAACAGCCTGGGAAAATTCATCAATGATATTTTAACAGAAAACAAAAATTAAACTTTTAATATTTAACATTTTTTCTAACATTTATTTTATATTTTTACAGTGTTTGTTTATTTGTTATTTGTTTGTGTGTTTATAAAATAATGTATAATTGCCATAGATTATGTATTTTCCATGCATTTTTTTGTGTCAAATAAAATATACTATATTCGTCGAAATAGAACTCTGCTCGGGAGATTAACTCACGTACACTACATGTACATTAGAGTCACATCATATACAAGAGAACTGGTGATGGTTGTAGAACCATAACTGCCTCAGCTCAAAGATTGTTATGTGATACAGGAGAATGTGAAGGTAAATGTATTGTAGTGTTACCTCTGTGTAATTTACAATATAGCAGATTTACCCTTCACTGTGAAGGACAATATGGGAGTTGGCTTAAATTACTGGTAGAAGCATAGCTGGTCAAATTTTGCGAAATAGTAGTTAGAATTTCTAGATACGCAATCAACACATTGTGGGATATCAAAATATGGATGATAAACAGCAAGTGATATTTCCAGAGATGTAGTTGGAATTGAAGGAGTGGCATATTAATCCATGAAACATACTCGCACATATCCGTACATATCATCCTGTCTTATTGTGTGTGGGCAAAGCTGTCATGCACACAATCGGAAAAATATGTTATGATTTAGAAAAACTATGAACAATTAATAAGGAAATATGTGATTTGCTGTACAGTTTCCAGAAAATTATTACTAGTCCCAGAAGTGCATACGAGTCGTCAAAACGTACATTCACATTGTGCAAATACAAACAAGGCATTAAACCTTCCTGATAGTAACAAGTAAGTGTTGTATAAACCCGAATGAAAAGTCCGGAGTCACGGCGAATACTTCTAGCGAGTCATCCCTCTAAAAACTGTCATTACTGTGCCAATGACATTGAACTTTGCTCTTTCATAAAGCAGCAGTATCCATCTTCAAATAATCAAAATAACCTTGATACCCTGGTCTATTGTTTCACAAGGACTGTCCCAAGGGATTTTCGTCTTCTCAATTTCTCAAGATAAACGTCCCAAGGATGTTTTTTTTTTACTAGAAGGACATGTCTTTTGGCAGCATTTCTTGCATTAATTTCCATTGCACAAACAAAGTAGCAAATACTGTTACTGAAGCACAGAATTTGCATGATTTTTTCTCCCTCTCCATTCACGCAAACTGCAAATGAAGTCTTTTACCTCATCCATAGTTGTTGACACTTAACCGCCTTGATGGATGTATTGTGACATTTTGACCCCGGATTCTGACCTTGAATTCTGCATGGCTACATTTACTGCCCTTTCACACCAGTTCAATTTTCTTTCATTATTACATCCAAATTTCATGATATTTAATATTTAAAACCAACCTTTATTTCACAGTCACTTTAGTTTTCACTTTTCTAAAATTATTTTACTGATCAAAAGACTTTTCACTCCCATCATGCAATCTCCCATAGTACTTCCGCAGACACAGTGGTGATCGCCAACATATCTACAAATAACCTCGCTCCCAGGAGCTGAGGAATTACACATGTGCGTGATCGTGATACAAATTATTACTCCATTTATTGTAGTAAAATCTTGTTCGTATTTTTCCAGGCTTAATTTTAAAAACAAATTCACTCATAATTATGCCGTTCTACACACGCCAGCGGAAAAATATTATTTTTTTTTTATACATATCTCAATATTTCTAAAAAACGTTGTTGTATGTTATCCCGAGCTCCATTCCAATTACCCTCTTGTGTTTTTAGATGTAGCACTATTTTTGAGTTTCGACATCACGCTTAAATATTAGTTTTTCATTTTTTATTTAGAATTTTTGAATATTTCAATTTCAGACTGCAATTCAATATTTTGTTTTGACTGTTAAAACCATAATATTAAAGATAAACATTAAACTGTCACATTTCCCGTTGCATTCAATAAATATTAAACTATTACTTTTGATATTACTTGATAAAACCAAAAGATCGCTGATACAGATAACCACGGATATGTCATGATTTGTTTCTATGTGTCTATGGGTCACTGATACGACTTGATAGTTGAGTTCTAGTGAATAGCTGGTTTATATCATTCCACACATTCCCATAATCTGTCATCATTTGGAGTTTGTACAAGGTACTGGACGGAACTCTAGTCAGTGAATGGAACTAATTACGATATAAACACCGCCATCCCGACTGCTAAATCTGACAGTTGGTATGTGTAGTGGATCAAATGCTATGACGTGTTGAGTACTTCATATGATTGCCTGTATATGAGTAGAATGTTTGGAGGCTACGCCTTAAGCTTTTAAACTCCCTTGTAATTGGCTAAGGTTTGAGAAGTGAATAAAGCGAATTTAGCGAATGTTAGTCAGTCTGAGAGAGATCTCCACGAGGCAGTGAGTCTTGAGAGTTTTGGGGGACTTTTCCCCTAGGTATTCTGTCTTGGAAAGTTTTGACGGGTGTTGTGAGACTTAGAAGTTGACACGCATTCTAGATCTGTGTGTCTTTGTTCGGTGTAAGGTTGCGAACGTTACGATCCCTGGTACCTGACGATAATTAACCTATCATAGATACCTTGTGATAAGGCTCAGTCTCACATAGACTCGATTTCCAGTCCACGTCAGAGATGAGTCACAGACAGTAATGAAGCGAAAGAAAAAAATATCCCCGTCTCACAATATTAGTTGGTGTAATCAGCTTTCTTGTGTAGCGATGTTTGAAGTACGCTCAATTCATTCGTAACAAAACTATCTCATTGTGAAAATATACTAAATTAGCTACGCATTGAATTAGAGATATTACAGATTAGCCAAAAAACATGCTAGCTAAAAGACGTGTTTTACAGTACAGCTAATAATATGCATAGACATTTAGAAAGTCTTATGTTAATTACGCACTGATTAATGTCATACTAAATTTGAGATTGTATTGAATGCACGTACCAAATTGCCGTCCATTTGAGGGTACCGTTGCAATATACACATGTCATGAATTTGTTTTCGCGTATCTGTTAACCGACTTAATTAGCTGATTATTAGCGAATTGCTGTGTTATGTCTGTCATCGTTTAGACCTATTTGAAGTTTTGGACGGAACTTGGCTCAGTGATTTGGAACTAATTACCAGATAACCGCCGCTATTCAGACTATTAATTCTGACAGTTGGTATTCGTAGTTATTAATGTAGTGAACGATTAATCAAAAGATATGACGTATTCAGTACTTAGTGTGATTGGCTGTATGATTGAAGGTTACGCCCTAGAGTCTTTTTACTGCTTTGTAATTGGTTAGAGTTTTGAAAATGAATAAAGAGAGTTTGAGTTGGTCTTGGGGAGTAGAGCAGAACAGACGCAGTCCTGGAGAGCCTGAGAGTCCAGTCCTGGAGAGACTTGGGGCGAGCCTTGACGCAGTCTTGGGCGAGTCTTGGGTCAGCCTTGCGATAGTCTTGGGGATTTTTCCCCAGGGCGCCGTGTCTTATAGAGTGCTCGATTGACCGACTAAGACGAGAGCTGAAACGTATTTCGTTGTGTGTGCCTTATTTGACGGTAAAGTATAAGTGACTTTCCCGATCCCGCACCTCAAGGGGACGAGATATAGAGACGAGACGAGTTTCCCCCCTGGCAAGTGTGGAGACCCCAGAGAGAAGAGAATTTCCCCCGTGATACACATGTCAATTAGACAGTATTAGAAATGTATTAATCATTGATTCATCTACGCCAATTGCTTTCAAATCCACACAGTCATTCTCATGATATTGCTAGAAAAGATTTGACAAAGAGCCTGAGACACACAACAATACAACACCAACTCCTATTTGTGTACCAATTGAGTAGGCAGACCCTGAGCAAAACGTTAATGGTCGGAAATAGTGGGACATGGATCTCATTTCCTAGAGAATAGTTTTGGTTGAAGAAGTATATATATATTTATGCTGGTCTGGCCCTACAAGTGTGCAGCGGACCCAACGATGCACTAGAAAGGTAGTTCGTACACAGTATATCGCGGCCACATTAACGTGATGCGTTGAGATACGGTCTCAACTAGAAAAAAAACTTTCTCTCCGCTTCTCACAGAATTATAGAAAATATGTTTATCACCTTCACCACGTATGCAAGTATCATTGAAAAGTTAATTGCTATTTCCGTGAAGATTTTAATCGAAAAAAAAAATTGAAAATATAACATTCGCACAAAATCCATATTTAAAAGGTCAGTCTTATGGTTAAAAATATATTATCTTCAAAGTATCTAACTGTGATCACCGATGAGGGCGTTGTTGAAAGTTGGCTGCCAACCAGTTGAAAGTTTCTCCTGCACAGCCGCGTCGTTCTCGATTTGTTGTGACTACAAAAGTTCATTCTATACTAAATTAGTATAATTAGTATAAACTTTATTACGTATTATGGCCATCGGCCTTTGACAAATATTTGTTATAAAATTGTTAATTATATTATTGGTCGCTAATAACAAACCCCTCGAAAAAAAACGTCTTTGAAATTCATAGTATGATATAAAATGACGTACACTGAAACCCAATAATACATATTCCTCAAGCATAACAGTGTTCTCGAAGTATGAACATGAAATGAACGTCTTCTTACCCTTGTACCTTATGACTTGATGCAATATAATTTACATTCAGAACTAATTTACAAAATAGATTATTATCACAGTTTTTACGTTGAATACAGCAAACTGTTTTCTAAATATACAGACGAGTATATACGCGTGCCTATCAACTTGACTTATATACAGTATTGTCACTCATGTCAATTCATGGCATCTCCTGATTATAGTTTGGCGGTACAGTAGGCGTTTCCTCAACTATCGATTGGAAATAGTTCACTCAAAATCTTGTTGAACATCCAAAGTAAGTGCCTGGTTATCGTTTAAGAAGAGCGCCATCATGCGACAGTTTCTTGGGAATGTCTTCCCTCAATAATGAGGGCGCCACTCACGCCTACATTTCAGGCCAATATACGTAGTGATACTATTGGAACTGGCAAGTCGTTTGGACTATTTCTAACTGCTTTATACCACTATATATGTTTTATGTTTTATGCCAGGCCCTGCAGCCCAGAAACATTCTATAATAACAGTAATGTGTAATTCACCATACACATGATTCAGAATGACATTGCTGTTACTTTGTGATGAAGCCCGGTTCTTCCAGTTCAGAATACATGCCATCCAGCCACCTTTGTGTCGTCATGTACTCGTCTTCTTCAGCGTTAACGTCCATTTTGTTACCAATCAACTTCATAAGATCTGACTGCTGTTCCAGAAGTACGTTCATTGATCTTTGGCTAAGAAGGTAATCATAAATGACATGCATTAAACAAATGTTTACCTGCAAGAATATCGTTTGGTTCTTGCTACCAGAGACTCGTCCTGAATCGTCAGATATAAGTGGTTGCCAGGCAACATATTTTTGTAAATGCACGTACTCTTCATGTCATGGATTAGAAATTGGGAATAGAGGAGGTATTTAAAATATGATTATCCAACCGCATTTTTGTTTTCAAGTTTAGAACCTCCATTTGGAGGGATCTTCATACCCAAAAATCAGAAAACAGCAGTTGGGCTATAAACAAATTTGTTATTTTTGTAATATGCTCATTATTTTATACAATTAAAGTTCAATTGACAAGTAAATATTTTGAGAATCAATCCGATGTCTGGATACTCGCGTGAGACTGTGAGACTGTAACCAATACATAAACATTGCTACCATAGAGATAATATGAGTTTAAAATGAGATTTGAGGATGAATGTGTTATATTGGAATTGGATATTAAATATCCTATCTTGTTTTACCGTGAGCACAGCGAATCGATCTGATGTTGCATTCTGTCCAACTTCTCGTTAGTTCTGTCTCTGTTCTTCTCAGTCTCAATGGCTTCTTCGTTTTTTTGATGCCTCACCAGTATTTTACTGATCTGTAGGTACAGAAGTCAATGTCAGAGCATAGATCGCTATAGTTACAACTACATTACGCATGCACATGATAGTCACGTTAATATACTTTCAAAGTTGTAGGACACGCTACAGAAAGTCGTTTAGACTTCGTAACACGTATACTTTAACCACGTACCTTCATCCACCATGCGTCCTGGTTTTTATTCGGTTCGTCTGTTTCCGTGCGGACGTACAGGCATTTCTGGATTACTTTTGGTACATTTGTCTCAATTCTCTCAATAAAATCAACCTATATCAATATAAATCAACTTATTATCCCAGCAGTGTATCTCAAGCCAAAAGACTCAAAATAAATCAGAAAAGTCAAGCGATATACCAATATAATTGTTCAGTGCATACCAACCAGAATGATACCGATGTGGTTTATCATAAAGCGGACATGAACTTATTGACATTTTCACTCACATCCATTTCTATTTTCTCCAAGTAAGCGTTCTTTTGAACTTTATCAATATCTCCAACAGCAATACCAACCTAAATTTAAATAACACAAAACATAAGTATAGCTGATACAGTAATCACAATAGTCTGACGATGAATTATGGATGAGGCGATTTTCAACAATTCAATGTTTGGTACACATGTGAACTGATAGTTTTGGTACATACAATAACGTTCACTGTGAAAGAAATGCGTATGAGGTTTTTTAAAAATCTGCTATGTTTGCTGTGAAAGAAAAATGTTTAGTTAACGATACATTATATTGTATTGTATTGACTTGAAGGACAAACTTTGTAATTATATGTATTCTAAATACACTTTTCCTATAAGTTCAGTCCATTGCAAGACGTCATAATGACGAAAATAAGTAAAAACTATGAAGCTCAAAAGAATGATTATGTTTAGTTCTGTAGTTGTTCACCATTAAAAATACAGTAAATCCCTGAAAACGATTTGTTATTGAGGTATGACTACAGATCAAAACAATATCTTTCGTCCACTCATACATGTCACATCACTAGAGGGCGCATCCTACTGGAATATTGTATTGCACATGCTCTTTACAGTACTGGTACGTATTCTTAATTCAAACTGTAACTTGTAAGCAACTATTACATTTGTTCACGGTCGTCACGTACTTACCAGTAGATTCATAAGGACGATCGGCATCAGAAATATAAAAATGACGAACAGAACGTGAGCTGTAACGTCAAATGGGGCGAGGTCTTCTGCATAGAAAATGTCTGTATAATCTAACTCCCCTAGAGTCATCACTATCACCTTCATCACCGATGACGGCATATCTCCAAACACTTCCTGAAATATCAAAAAAAAACAAAAAAAGTCCGAATATACATACACATTATTGTAAAATGATATTGTATTTGATTCGTATTGGATATCCGTACTACTAATACATTGTATAGAATTAGAATTTGTATTTGTCCCATTGCGACCGTTGCAAACTGTGACACTATCACATACTGTCATGTAACACTATTACATACAACACCACCGCGTGAACTATTACATCATACTCCACCACGTGAACTATTACATCATACTCCACCGCGTGAACTATTACATCATACTCCACCACGTGAACTATTACATCATACTCAACCGCGTGAACTATTACATCATACTCCACCACGTGACATTATGACATCCACACATCCACCGTGACGTGGCACCAATGAACCCACACCTCCATGTGGCATTATTACGCCCAAGCCATGATGTATCGCTATTACATCAAACGATACCATGTGACACTAGTATTAGTCGTAGCTGTCGTGACATTATCCGTTTGTTTTAATACAGACAACATCGTATCATCATGACCAACTCACACTGTGAAAAGCAAGGTAATGTTCCTAGTTCACCGTGGTACGTTGATATATAAATGAACTGACTACTCACCAGTCGCGAAAATAAAATAAAAAACGCAGTTCCAAATGCAAATGCGAATAGAATGAACACAATGATGGCCTGCAAAATAACAATACAATAATATTAGTATATAATATTATAAAATTACCGAGGAATTAAAGTGAATTATAAAGAACCCTCACCTTCATCAACGACTTGAGGACAGAGAAAAACATGACTACGTAAATACCAAATAAATCGAATCTGTAAAATTAAACAGCACGATTGACATAAAGTATATTTTGTATGAAAGAACGTTGTCGACATCATGGCTCACCTATCTTGACATAATGCGACGAGAGTAAACGTTTATGATACACCTTCCCTGTATACCGCGCCCTCTAGCGACGATCTGCTTCTTAAAAAAGGTAGTTTTTTTTATCTGTGGTCGTATAACAATCAAAAGTGACTTTTTGCTTATAGACATTTACTGCATGGTTTCGCCTTCTGTCGACTAAACGCGTCAAATGACGTAGACACGTAAACAATGTGTAAACAATGGCTGTTGTTCGCAAATTGCACTGAATATTCAGTCTGACACATGTACGCTATGTGGTTGTCGCGTACAGAAATTACAGGTGAGATTAGGATACACACATTATGTTATTAAATGTACACGATCACACGTGTGATGACATCATCATTAATCATGTAATTCCCTTATAATCGTTTATGAGCGTAACACTGACCTTCGTACGTAGAGTATAAACGTAATCCACGCCAGGAATATAGCACATGCCCCTGCTCGCCAAGCCATGGCACAGGGTTTCTCAAATATAGGATGCACAAATATGAAGGAACATGTGTACAACCCCAACTCTGTGTAGTTGACGTAATCCAGAAAATACTGCAATTTCTAGTGATACAATGAATATATCAACAAGTGAGTAAGTAAGTAAGTACGCAAATTAATAAATTAATTAATTAACTAATTAAGGAATGAAGGAATAGGCACACGAAGGAAGAAACGAACGAATGAACAATTATTTAACGAGAATTTTCCAGAGAACTGAGTCCGCCCTCAACGTCTCTGTTGAACGCACCCTCAAAAAACCCAAAACAAATCAAAAACAAGAAACAACAACGAATGAATAAATAAATGAGTGTCAACAAAAAATCAAATAATCTTTTGAACTCTCAGGGGTCTTTGGTTGAACACTACGATCCAGTCTTGATCACGACATCTGCATCCGGCGCGCACGATATTGAAATCGTATTGATATTCTAACTTGGTGTGTGTGTAAAATACATACAAATATTGTTACCTGGTTAAAAAACTCAAAAACCTCTTTGAACACTTGTATAACACAAAACAAGGCTATAACAATTTCTAAAACGACCATGTTATAATTCTGCTTCATGAGACTGCCGTCCTGTGAACAGAAAAACAAAAATATCTTGAATGAATTTGGCAGACTGTACGCAAATATGGAATCTAATACGACTACCGTAATATATTTCTTGTCCAGGGAGAAGGTAAGTGAATGACTTTGTCGCGGTGATATGAGAAAACTTTTTGGGCTACGCCGTGTTTGATATGGGTCTCATATGAAATGTGTGTAGAATACATTGTTTATACAATGGTGCTTTAAATTTGGTCATATTTTGAGACATTTATTTGCAGAAATTGGCAACGTTATTTTTTTCAGCAAATATCGACGCATATTCGTATTCTTACGCTGCTCAGCAAATGTCACAAATCTCCACATAAATGGATGTAGAATGTTTGGTTACGTCACCCATATGGCATTGGGGGTCTTGTGTGTACTTGTAACAAAAGGCGGGCATGCCGTCTTTGAATCTGCACCAAACGAAATAAACTTACTTTTCTGTAATAATTAACAGAGTGTAACCACATGAACAGGTTTTAGTAATATCCAATTTCCAGGGGCAGCAACAAAGGCTGAAGGGAAACCCGGATGACACAAATATCGAATGTATGTGTTGTAAGACGAATTGAAGAACGCTCTCTATTGATTTTCAAGTATTATTTTCAAAACACGAGAAATGACATAATAACAAACTTACGGCGTTGTAGAAATCACTAGTATTTGGGCAGCCATCTGCATTGAGGTCCGGCGTAGCGATGAGCGGATTGTAGGCCGCATATAGTGTCAACGACACAAGAAATATGGTATAGGTGATGAAGTCAAGGGCAAAGAAATATCGAACGAATCTTCTCCTGTAATAAATAGTTTATAACAGTTGAGGGCGCCATTCAGTAAATGGTTGTAAAGCCCATGGAATACAAAAGCACACTATAATTATATAATAATTGTTACGTTGATTCTAAGTGACAACAAACAGCCTGGAGAGGGTAAATTAAACGGACGAAAACTAACTACTAGTAACAATAGATTTGACCATTTTCCAAAACAGCAATTTTGAATCTCCTCTTATCTTTTTAACTGGTGGGGGTGTGGCTGGGTATTTTGAAAATATTTATACTGAATTGAATTGTGTTTCATGAGACTGTCCAACGATAGATAATAGATATATACGTATATAAGTTTTTAACTCAACTGCCATAGTGGCAATACATGATTATTAAAGAAAGTACGAGACGATGATGATATTGTTTTAAATGCGAATTGCTCTAGATTTACAGAAAACTAGTCTTACCACTTGAGTTTCAAGATTTGTTGTGAAAGTTCGTGGGACACCAATGATTCGCGTCCACACTCTATCATTGTCTGAAATAAATACACTGAATTATTCAATCTAGTGAGCATTGTATTCAACACAAGTAGAGCAAGATAAAATAGACAAAAACTGACTAAAATGAATGAGAAAAAAGGGGAAAATAACTTACCGACAAAGCATTCCACCTAAAATTGGTATCAACAGTTGCTGGATCAGTGTCGATATATTTATAGTCATAAGTAACCTGTTTTTAAATTAACATGACCCTGTTTTAGTACACAAACAAAAACACAAAAACAACGACATTACTTTCAGCTATGATGTGTACGTATACATTGATAAATTAAAAGTTTACTTTTAAGTCTGTAACTGTCTTGTCTGGATTTGAATACGTCACGCATTTATCCAATACATTCAGCGCTACATCCGGGAGTTTCTCTATCAGTGACTTGAGTGGTGTGTAGCCATTCTTTCCTCGTGCTACCAGAGTCTTCTGCCAACTATAAAAATGACGTCATAAGGTGAATAATGTAGCATGGTCTACAGGTTATTGACACATCGTGATAATATTTCATGCCAAATGTCCAATAGTATTGACATTCACCTTTCATGTTCGACTATTACTCTCGCAGTGTCTTCTTGTATGTTGTCAATAGCAACTTCAAGCGCATTCTGTCCATTTTCGTTTTCTAGCGTAACATCGGCGCCCTTCGATAGAAGCTGCATGGTTACGTCCGCGTACCCTTTGCCGGCACTATGATGGAGAGCCGAGTTCTGGTGGGTAGGGAACATACTATTACTTGTACGTAATCATATTCTATTTGCGCATTTTACTATAAAATTAATAACATTTTATGAGTACCTAGAATAAGTTTTACTCTCATAATTCACATTAAACCATAATTATAATCACATCTACATTAAAATAAGCTTTTAGATCACCACTGAACGCATTGCATGAATAATATACTAATCTATTAAAATGGGATCTAAAATTTCACCAAAAATGAGCATAAATCTGAATAATCATCATTTGAAAATAAGATTCTAGACAAAACCGAAGAGTACACATATTTTTGTGTAACATTCAATACCAATGTTCCCTTACATAAACCACGGAGAGACTTGCAGATAAAGCTTGGAAATCAGTAAAATTGTAAACATCTATATTGGTAACGACAATAACACTAACATTAAATATAAGTTTTGATTCTATTTCCATTCTATCTAAATGTATTGCACAACAGGAATGAGTTCACAACTCAGGTTGAACTTGTTCGTCACCAAAAGCATGAACACTAATTCGAAACAGACTTTGTGAGCATTGTAACAAACTGAAAGATGAAATAAACTTTATCACAGCATATGCATTTCATAACAGTGAAAAATCAATTTTATTTGCAAAATTCACAAGACATATACCTAGTTTAACGCCTACAAAAGTATCAAACAATTTGAAACTCTCATTAAACAGCAAACCAAATTTTTTTAAAACATACTTTTTTTATACTTTAGACACTAATTCTCACCTTATTTTTGTCTACTGCGTCGATGTCTGCATGGTTCTTTATCAATATCAAGGCTGTGTCCATGTGACCTTGGCTGCACGCTAAGGTTAGAGCCGACATTCTGCTGTCATCTCTAAAAAAAAAGCATTTTTAAACTATTAAATAACTTGAATTGAAACATCGGGACACAATTGCTTACGGACGACACTGAAGTTTTGCAATGTCATATAAATTCTGTTTGGTCACAGTTGAAAGGCACACAAGAAAACAATTTCACTGAAAAAAAATAAAATTATTCTCGCAAACTCTAAAAAACATAGTTTTCACCCCAAACATGACGTTGTTGATCATGTGTTCTCTATAGCACCACCATGAAATAAGTTGACTAACTAGGTAAATATGAGTTTAAATTTTAAATTGATATCCGCAAACCAGCCTGCGGTGAACAATGCAGAATATAATTAGATGCAATACAATATGCAGCAATATAACATGAACTAATCATGTTATTTAAATAGGTAACATGAAATAAACAAACAGTGTTATGAGAAATGTACATAACGATGAAACAAAATAACTTTATTCATCACATGTATCATGCACTTTCCATGTAATAACACCCGTGTGATATGTTTGGTATTACACACTATGAAAGTGCCGTCACACTTTAAATCTGTGATGTGATTGGCCAATACAGCTTTTTCACCTTTGATCGATCAGCAAAGTTAGTACTAAATTATGCAAATTTTAATGACAAATTATGTAGAAATTATTAAATATTATACTCATTAGATTTTAGATGCTACATAATCTCTGATTTTATCACTGTTAAATAAACAAAATGTTAAAGATATTAATCGCATTCTCAATTCTCCCAACCCGAAAATAGTTCGGGCATGATAATGTTTCGTCTGCTGTCAATCATACAATTTTCACCTCAAAGTAAACAAACCATCAGCTGATCGAACGTTCGAAATCATGATATATATGGGCGACTTAGTCAATACTTTTGATATAGACGTGACAGAATTTATGAATGATGAGCAATAAAGACCGAGTGAAGGTACGTTTACGTTTTTTCTTTCTCAGATCTGATAAACTGAGATCATGATCACTCGGCGTATCGTATGATCACATAATGCAATGGGTAAAAATACATCACAATACTGTGAATACTAAATAAAATGATTCCACAACATGAATGTATTTTTATATTTATAATAACAAGTGTAACATTTCTTTTCATCACAGTAAATGCTTCCTTGGAAGTGTCATGATTTATATTTTCATGTAATTCGGTGAGGCCGCTTTTCCCCGAGAATTCCCCGAACTTGGTACCTCTGACGTGAAGGTTAATAACACTTCATTTAATTTTTCACACGTGAGTGGAGAGCCCGGGCATGTGTTTAACACACCTCGATATCCTGTGCAGAACTGTGAAATGACGAAGAATGCTCGAAAGTGTGTTTTCATGCGAACGGCAGAGACGACACTGTGCTCGACTAACGCCTTTACCCGAATGACACCAATACACGACGCTGAAGAGATGAAGACTTCGGAACCCCTTAGGAAAGACGAGTATCGAATAGGATTGAATAATCAAGGCGAATTAAGCGACATTAAAAACAAGATGAGTAATAACGATCTGGACTAACGCGACGAAAGGAGAAGACGCTATAGAGACTTTGAATTAGAACTTTAGCTATTTGTGTAGAGAACCGCTCGCTGGACACTGTAACTGACACTGTGCAACTCAAGACATTGACCTCTTTTTTCAGAATCCCGGCTCTTTTGCTTAGTAATAATGTAATGCTTTTTTACCGTTTTTTTAAAACTTTTTTTTGTGATATTGAATTGTATGTTATGTGAGCGCCCATATCTTTGTTTTGAACTGATATTTCGTGACGTGCGAGGTCCTTTATACCGATTTAAGCGTTTCAGTGGACAAAGTATTTGCAACACATTGTTTTGAAGTTCTGTGAAGTTTTATGGAGTTTTAATGAGGTTATGAGTACGGAATATGATGGGAAGAATGATGCCCCACATGAGTTTTCAGAGTTTTTAAGAGTTGTCATCTACAGGGTTACTGACGTTTTAAGAGTATCGATGTTCAGAATAATCGATTTGTAGTGTTGTTTTCGGAATACTTCTGATGCTTTGTGAGTTGATTTGAGTTGAGAGCACCTTCGTAACGTTTTTTGATGTCATTTTGAAATAAGTGTGGTGCGCCCACGTACATATTGTTTGATGACACAGGCTTTGTGCATGATTGACAGTATTATATGTAACTCAGTAGTGTTTTGTGATTTTAGACCTTTTCTATTTTGATTGTTGGAAGAGAAACGTGTTGTGATAGCGACTTCTTTCTCGCATTAGAATCCGACGCCCTTAGTCTTTTTTTAGATTCGACGACTTGTGTGTTCAGTTTGAAGATTATAACCATATGTGACAGGAGTTTGATTAATAGATTGTTTACTCATTAATTAGTAGTGACTTCTTGCAATGCTTTAACCGAGAAACGCATCCCTGGTAATCACGTGATCATGCTGTCGACTGCAGCGATTGGCTGATCGCATGGTTACACCTCCACGCCTTAGTTTTTTGATCTTTTGATATAGAGTTTGTAACCTTAGTAACGGGAGACAGTGCAGCGAAGGGCTTATGTCGGCGGACTGTTTTGATAAAACGGGACGGTTTGAGCCTCTCCCTGGAAGAGTAGGATATTTAGATTTTTAACCATTGTACTTAATCCTTGTTTTTACTCTTTTGATTCATACCTTTTTATATCAGTATTGTATTTAACCCGTATGACGAGTGATGAGTAGATGACGGTGTCTTTGATTTGAGAGGCATAATTCGGTGCAGTTATGAGCGACTTTCACTGGTGACCCCTGGATATTCCACACCTGCTCGTAACTTGTCATGATCAGGTTCATTCGTATGTTAGGGAATTAGTGATTGGAACAACTGGCTGATATAATAGTCGACTATGGAAGTTGGGGTTAGTGTTGAGGGACGGTGGTTAAGTCAACGAGGCACCGATAAGTATGAGAGTTATGTCCCGATATCGGGGGCAATTAATCTGACATTATGACATGTTGATACTTTGCGTGATTGGCTATATGTGTGAAGGCCACGCCTTAGTCTTTTAACTTCTCTGCAATTGGTTAACAGTTGGAGTGTGAATAAAGCTGATCTCAGTTAGTTGTGGCAAGCTCTCGACGAGGGAGTCTTGAGGCGGCCGTGGGAGAGTTACAATGCGGCTGAGACCAAATGTGACACGATTCGATTCTCTGTGTGCCTTTGTTCGATAGAAAGGTGGAGAATTCCCCGAACTTGGTACCTCTGACGTGAAGGTTAATAACACTACATTTAATCGTTCACAGAAGCGACAGCACAGATCACTGGCAGCGACGGCGCCGAGGCCAGGTCTTCACGACCATGTAGATTTGTGCCAGTCACTGATGACGATGAAGCGCATCAAACCCGTGCCAAGCATCAATACAGCCATCCATACCTTCTGTTATGCAACCTCAATCACAAAATAACATCGCGTCCCGATTGACATCAACCAATACAAGTCACCATGCCTCTACCTTGAGTTCAAAATCAACACCGATATTTGGGGGCCCCATTTCCGGCGGAGTATTTAAAGCGTGGTGGTCATCGTGCAACGCGTGTTCGTATTTCATGTAAATTAACAAAGTATTTTACACGCGTTGTATACGTCGCTATGAGTCCCATATCGAACAGGACGCGGCACGACGACTGTCGCCCTTTAATGTACACGTACATTACAACACTGCCAACAATGATAGTTCAAAAATTTCACCGAAAAGACGTCGGATATATGTAATTGATTCTTCTCGTTCATCAGATAAGAACTAAATAATTACCTTCAATCGACGTAGCGTTGACTGCCGTTTGTGCATTTATTTATATCGTGTTTTTTTAGGGATTTAAGATTATTATATGTATAAGGGCTGGGAACATGTGAAAATTACTACACCTGTTTAATAAATCCGATATTACACTGTCACTCATTAGAGATCCGCTATATACTACATTGCAAAAACTAAGATGGTAACAGCTTACCTGCTTGAAAGATCAGCACCGATCTTCAACAAATATATGACTACCTTATAGTGCCCATATAAACTAGCCAATAACAAAGGGGTACGTCCGTCGACGTCATCTTCGTTAATTTGCTTCGGATTAGCATTGGCTAATACCTCCACACAGTTCACACGACCATATCTAAGGAGATAATTTTAATGAAATAATGTAAATGTATTTAAATTGTCACAGTATTTCGTGTGTCAAACCAATGCATATTACATGCGCGTCGTATGGAACCCAAATCGAACACGACGCGTCGCGACGACTGTGGTATATTGGTAGCATTGGGCAGCATTGGTTTTAGTGGTTATGTTCAATACTGCATGATGATTTGATGAAATAATGAGCTACGCATGTGTTTATAATTACTAGTACGTACTGTTAATTAGTGAACGCATTTTTTACGTAGTTCATTGCGAATAACATTGTTTAAGTGAAAAATACATACAAAAACATTTTTTAATTTATGGTAAATTGTAATCCAATATTTTTTGAAAAATACTGATAAAATAAGTTATTCTTTAGGAAAAACAAGCGAGCAATACACTATATCATTTAGCATTTGTATTTTTGTCATAGATACAAAATGTAATTCACATAGGCCCATCTAAAACTGACCAGTATAATTGCAATATTTAATACCGTACAATTGAATTTATTTCCGAAAAAGTACATAGCATATGTCGTATGAATCCCCTTCGTTCTTAGAATTATCAAGTCTCATACTTACTGGGCTGCGATGTGTAGGGGAATTTTCTCTTCGATATCTTTAGAATCTAGCTTTGCACCATGGGACATGAGAATATTTATAAGCTGTGATGAAGAAAAGTGACATTTATATTCGTAAATACAGACATGCAGGCCAGCCCATAATCACGAAAACACACCATACACCACTATAACACTATACACCACTATAACACTATACACCACTATAACACTATACACCACTATAACACTATACACCACTATAACACTATACATCACTATAACACTATACACCACTATAACACTATACACCACTATAACACTATACACCACTATAACACTATACATCACTATAACACTATACACCACTATAACACTATACACCACTATAACACTATACACCACTATAACACTATACACCACTATAACATAGTATGATAACATATATTTAATGGAACGTAAATGCTACCTATGTCTTTTTATTTCGTTCGCTAGAAATCGATCAACAACATTTCGAAAAGAAATCGACAGGAATCCAAATTGCAGCATTATTAATAGACTGAATCTGCCGGCGAGGGAGCTGTGTCAGACTGTATTATTATGTAACAAATGAATGTAGATCAAATTACATTACATATGATTCATAAACATGACAAGTACCCCAAACAATTTTTGATATATGATTTTGTCATGGTAAATTGTTCATTCAATTGATTTGTTTTATGTAATGTTGATACGTTTTACACTTGTACTGAGGGTAGCCTGCAATTGACAGGAACAAAGTCGTGGTGTCTGTACAAAGCAGTATTTGCATACTTACTTGAGCATCTCCATTTTCAGCAGCGTAGTGGACGGACGTCTGATCTTTCTTATCCTGTCGTCCAAGTAAACTTTCTCCTCCATTTTCCAGTATCATTTTTACGAATTCTCTATGAGTTCCCTCCACGGACCAATGAAGACAAGTTTTAGATTGATAGTCAGTTGCCTCGATATCAGCTCCGGATTTCAGTAAATACAACGCTGCATCCGATTGGCCCTTCCATGCCGCCCCGAGTAGAGGTGTAAAATGTTCCATGTCTTGTGCCTCTATGAATGCACCCTAAGTGCGATAAGAATGATGGGAATATTACAGTAAAGGAAGGGATGTCGTATAAATAAGGGATTACAATCACAATTATAAAAGCGTTAGTGGCCCATGATTCGAATGTTTTCTGTGATAGTGCTCAAATTTAATTGCATCACATTCTCTTTCCCATTCTCACTCAAGGATCGCTTTAATCACTGCTATCTTCACTCATATTCAACTGCACATTTCGCATAGTCGATGTGTTGATATTAAATGAAATTAAAATAATAATATTCAAACAAACAAAAAAACAAACAAACAAAAACCAACGAACCCACCTTTGATAAGAGAAGCCGCATTACCTCTACTCGATTGTAAATAGCTGCCCTGAAAACGGAAATTGTTGATGAATAAATACAAATACATGATAGGCACAATGCTAATATCGAAGAATATTACTGTAATGGGAATATAAACCAACGTTTTTTGTATTTTCTTTAGTTATCTATTTAATACAATCTTACCTATGCAAAGGCGTCATTTGTTCTTCATCTTTGTCGTTTATATTTGCTCCCCTAGTAATCAGCATAGACGCTATATCCGTATAGCCATTGACTGAGGCGATGTGTAATCCACTAAACCCGTTACCTTTCCTTGAATCGACGTCAGCGCCATTGTCTAAACATAGTACTGATGCCTTACAAAATAACATATTAGAAATGGATTCAAAATTTTCAATGCAATGCAATGAATTAATGTTTTCTTTTTATAATGCTGCAGTCTACTTTAATAAACCTGATCATACGATTTGAGGAACTAAATTAGTGTCAGAAAACCGTACTATTCTGACAACGTTCAACATATAACAGTGATTGATACACTTCAATGAATTTAGAGTAAGTTCCCAGTCACCTGACCTAGAATTAATCAAGAATGTGGCAATGTTGCCAATCTCATCTGCAAAAAAAGAGTGATTCCCACTCATCAGTGATGTCATTGGTATATAGGATGAAAAGCAAGGGCCAAACAGGCTGTGGAACACCGGATGGGACACGTAAACATTCAGAAAACGAACCACAAATAACAACACGTTAGGTTCTACCTTCAATGTAATATAGTAGCTAGAAAACCAACTATGCAAACCCTTTTCATGCATTACTTTATATAGCAACTATTCATCGAAAACTTTATTGTGCAATGTCTCACACTGAAATGATCGCCAAATTGTTGTTAAATCCCTTGAAAACAATTTTCATAGACAAACAGTTGAATAGTTATAGCTGTAATTACATATGGGTTTTATACACGTTTTAATGGTGTGGTATCACTCTGATTACAACCAACTTTGCCGAGTATTACGTAGTATCAGCCGCAAATGTCTACATGAATAACTGTGTGTAATATTGGTCGATACTGACATGCTTGAATGTGATGCATCGCAATGTATTGGTGTTATTCCAAATAGAGGGTATTATAGAAACATGTTTATAATGGCCAGTATAAAGTTACAGTTTTTCGCTTATAATTACAAATATAGGTGAATTTAAAGATGTAGCCCCTCTTTGTAAAATAGCATACAGAACACCTGCCAATGATTATTAGGTTTAGAAATGATAAAATCAGTTGGTTCTGCATCAAATCCTGAAAAAATGAAGCTATGAAAGTAGCCTGTACTTGAAGGAAACAATGTCGTGATGTCTGATCACCAAATCATAATTCCCATTGCTGTAAAATGTCATGTGTGCGTGCATTTTGATGTTTGCATGACTTTTATGGGAACTTACTGAATTCGATTTCAGGATCATGTTCGATCTGTACACAACCAAAGCCTTATTGACGATTGTATGCAAATCATACAAAGTGGGAATTCTACTTTAACACATTCATATCAGCTTTAAAAGGCGCTCTATAATGATAACATAATTTATGACTGCGTTACCAATGATTCACGCCACACATCCACCATTCTAGTAAGTTACTATTAGTAACACTGAGATTTTTTTCTGATTTACGTATACGTATAAATAGCCGAACGCCCCTTGGTTCGTTGATGATGATGCATAAGAGAACATACCTCAAAATGACCATTGCTTATGGCAAGATGTAAAGCTGTATTGCCTTCGTTGTCACAGTCTTCTAAGTAGTCGTGTGGTACAGTGTATTGTTTCTTCGCTAAAATAAGAAAGTTAAAGAATAAATATTTTCAAGAAACTGGTCGATAAACGATTCCATCGCACATGTACAAAACACGTTTTTACATAGTATTTACAATGTATCAGTATTATAGTTGGTCAGATTTTAACAGTGACTTGCACCAGTAAGTGTTAGTACATGTACTGTATATTCATGAAAACATTGAATTTATCTTGAACTGAGAACTCTGTTCTGAGTATTCGTTCGAAGAAACATGCAATTCTCTAATACGCATGTGCGCTTGTTTTTTTTTTGTATAGTAACAATCAGTGCAATGCGTATTAGTAATTTTGATTATTCATCTAATGAATACTGATTTGTGTCCTGCAAAGATAACATTTTCAGTGTACGAAAAATCATGATTTGGTCTACACTATACCGAACAACAATTTTATAAAATACATGTTTCGTCTATAATGTATCTTTAACAGATATTATAAAATAAGTTTAAATTTATTTGCCTTCATAAAATAACATATCACTTTCCCACACCACAATGTAAAATAAAATAATAAAATATACACAACGTAATACGACACTAACCTGTTTCCAACAACATACTCATGATGTCTGTGTGTCCCCCGACTGCTGCTATCATTAGTGGTGTGATGTCATTAACTTCTTTTGCACGTATATCGGCGCCATACTGAACCTACGATTTGATTACAAGTTGGTCAGAACCACAGATAACATCAATTAATGTCAACAAACAACGAATATCTGCGACATACTTCTAACTTTAAAATCATGACGAATACTGTTGTATGATAAGATGGAACGAAGATGATACTTACCAATAAATTGCACACTGCTAAATTTCCCTTCAAAGCAGCTTGATGGAGTGGTGTCATGTTGTCGGTGTCACATACATTTGGGTTAGCGCCAGTGGAGGATAACAAGACCTGTACACAACAAACAAACACACTATTATTGCGCTGTGACCCATGTCATCGAGGTTGTACCTTTAATGAGACAACATGGATTGTGACTTAGTTGTAAACTATAACTTTATTTCGTTGGCGCATGAAATATTGGAGTTTACAAATACCACATATTCATGCACCTAAATATATTTTAACGCAAAACGCAGTCACAACTTTGAAACAGTTTGGTTTATAAAATATATTTAATAATAATAATAATAATAACTTCATTGCATCCTTAGAAATACAATGTTTCTATCAGTTAATAGCAATAAAGATTAGTTGTGATAACTACTACTACAAAAAGAAAGTTAGTTGTTAAAAGGAAAAAAAAAAAAAAGATAAAGCAAGTGTTACATATCAAATGGCATTTTTATGAGCATTTTTATTTTTATATTTATGAGCTTAAACATGGATTTGTTCAGTCTAAAAAAGTCTTTCGATAGAATTAATAAACTAGGAAATGCGTATGTATCTGACTTCAGGGTACGCACAAGTAATTCAAAACGCAGGCGTAATATTCATTTGTTCCACATTTGTGCCAATACACTATACAATGAAGAGTATACACTAATTGGGCCGTGTACTTTCCCGACATCTAAGTACGTTGCATCATGATATATCTCATCCAAATATGAAAAATATGTATTCATTACTTATCACAGAAAGGAATTATGACCTACCTTAGTAAACTCTTCACGTCCTTGTCTGGCAGCAATGTGTAACGGCACAGATCCCTTGATATCTCGAGCATGCGCATCTGCATTGAAATTCAACAGAACCTTCGCGGCACTAACACAGTTTTGTTTCGCAGCGATGTGCAATGGAGTCATCTTATTTTCAGGTGTCAGGGGGTCCACAACTTGGATATAAAAACACACAGGCGTTATCAATTTCGCGATTACATGCAATGTTCATATATTTTGTGTTGTATTTGTCAATATGTCACTGTATGATTCCCCGAACGAGAATATTACAAGGGGGATTACAAAACTGTTTGGATAAACTATCAGCCTACACATCAAAATGGCAGTTGTCTGTCAACACAGATAAAACAAAAATAATG